ACCCGTCCTGCCTCTGAGCTCTGGCAGGAGCATCCCCAGAGAGTCACAGAGGCAGCTGAGCATCCTCAGGGAGGGTTGGTAAAAAGTCACCTGGTTCATCCCCAAGCCCCAGGGAAGGGCCAGCATCTCCTCTGCAGGATCTGTCGTCCCTCAAGGAGACCTGGAAGTTTCACGATGGGCTGGAGGAAGCTCTGCGCCCCGGAATAAAAAGAAAACAGCTGCTCTGTCTCCTTATTCCCTTCCAGGTGCTCAATCCCTTCTACATCTTCCAAGTGTTCAGCATCGTGCTGTGGGTCTGCGACGCCTATTACTACTATGCCGCCTGCATCTTCCTCATCTCCACCATCTCCTTAGGGCTCTCCCTCTACGAGACAAGGAAGGTTGGTGATGGGTTTATTTGGGACAAGCAGCTCTAGCAGAACAGCTCTTTGACCTCTGTGCTGATGTCTGAGCTCTCTCTGAGCCCAGCTGGGTGAGGAGAGCCCACACTCCAGCGGTGGGGCGGATTTCCTTGTCCTTCATCCGTGGTCCCGAGCCTTTGAGACCCCCGTTTTGCGGATGCTTTGCTGTGCTTTCTTTTTTTTATTGAGTCGCCAACCGCTCCCTCCCTTGCAGCAAAGCACCACGCTGCAAAACATGGCCAAGATGTCGGTCGGAGTCCGCGTCCGTCGACGCAACGGAGGTGAGCGTGACGGCGTGAAGCTTTTCAGGACGGGGTTGGGATGACGTTGACTGAGCACAGCCAAGTTTTTGGTGTTCTTTTTTTTGTTTTTTTTTGTTTTTTTTCCCCAGAGGAGATGGTGGTGAGCTCCGCAGAGCTGGTGCCGGGCGATTGCATCAGCCTCCCCACGGACGGGACCGTGGTCCCTTGTGACGCGGCGCTGCTGACGGGCGAGTGCATGGTCAACGAGAGCATGCTGACCGGTGAGAGCCCCGGCGCCTCTTTTGGGGGCCCCTTCCCATCCAAGCAAGTTGGATCCTAAACCCCCCAGAGTGATATCTCCCCGCTCTGTGACGTTCTTCGCCGCAGGGGAGAGCGTGCCGGTGATGAAGACCCCTCTCCTGGCGGGCAGCCAGGCAGCCAGCACCCTCTATTCCCCCGAGGAGCACCGGCGACACACCTTGTTCTGCGGCACCCAGGTCATCCAGGCCAAGTCCTACGTGGGCAAGGAGGTGCTGGCCGTGGTGACCCGCACAGGTAACGCATCGAGGGGAAAAGCCAGGGTACAAGATCGATCTCGAAGTGTTGGAGCAGGTCCAGAGGAGAGCAACGAGGCTGGGGAAGGGACTAGAGGGAAAGTCTGATAAGGACAGGCTGAGGGAGGTGGCGTTGAGGAGAGGAGACTCAGAGGGGACCTTCTCCCTCTCTGCAACTCCCTGAAGGGAGGGTGTAGTCAGGTGGGGTCAGGTTCTTCTCCTGGGCTCCCAGTGACAGGACAAGAGGGCCCGGCCTGAAACTGTGTCAGGGGAGGTTTATTTTGGGTCTCAGGCGGCCCTTCCTCACGGAGAGGGTGCTCAGGCCGTGGGATGCTCTGCCCAGGGCAGGGGGCAGTCACCGTCCCGTGGGGGGGATTTAAGGAGAGGCTGGATGTGACACTTGGTGCCTGCTCTGGCCCATGTCGGGGTGCTGGGTCACAGGTTTGATGATCTCAGGGGGCCTTTCCAGCCTCAATAATTGTGTGATTAAGCTGCATCTCTGAGAGTGGTGACCACGCTGATCCTTCCGCCCCGCAGGGTTTTGCACGGCCAAAGGGGATCTCATCAGCTCCATCCTCTACCCCAAGCCCGTGAGCTTCAAGTTTTACGAGGACGCTGTGAAGTTTGTCCTGTTCCTCGCCGTCCTGGGTACGTCTGAGCAGCCGAACCCCTCCCAGGCGGTCGAACCCCCGACTTCTTTTGTAGCCGAGCCCGTTCTTCCGCACAGCTTTTATCGGCACGCTCTACAGCATCCTCATCTTGGTTAAAAACCAGGTAGGGCTGCTGGAGCTGGTGAACCCTCGAGCGCAGGCTGACGCCGGGACCGTCCTGCGGGCGGAGATGGGCGAAGACTCTCGGGGTGCTCACCCCTCTTCCTCCTTGCCTGCCAGGTCCCCGTGGGGCAAATCATCATCCGTGCCCTCGACCTCGT